CGCAGAAGCTTTGACATTTCATTAAATTATTAGAGAAAGAAGACGATTCCTTGTACCGTTGTCAACTCTAAATCCTTTTCTGAATTCAGTTTCCTTGCTCCCGCGCAAAGCGCGGAAGCTTTGAAATTTCATTAGATTATTAGAGAAAGAAAACGATTCGTTGTACCATTCTCGACTTTAAATCCTTGTATGAATTCATTTTCCCTGCTCCCGCGCAAAGCGCGGAAGCTTTCTCCTTGTCTCCGATCTCATCACGAATTTGTCACAGATTTCATCTATGTTTACACTGTCCAGGATTGTCTGATGCAGTGCATTGCAGATGGCTACTTTTGCGCTTCGCGCTTAACATTTAGCTCGATGCTTTTTAACGCTGCGTCTTTGCATTTGGCGCACTGCATTTCTATGATGCTGTTGATTGAACAAATCGAATAAATTCATCAATTCCTGATGAAGCCGTATGAGCGAGAATTCAATTTATTCTTGTCTCATATACGGTTGTCTCATTTACTTCGCATATTATGTATGTATTATGAAAATGAGATAGCAAAATGTGTATATTGATGGTCATCTTGCGAGTAATAACCATTAACTACTCTTATCCGGGCTCTCATTATTAATTTTTCACTTCATTTTTTTTTTTTTTTGATGGTGAATTATTGGGGGGGGGGGGGGATGATTGTACAGGCCATCCCCCCCACCTGAAATATTGGGGGGGGGGGGGGGGATATATCCCCCCCATCCCCCCCGGGATCGACACCCATGCCCCTATATACGTGGCTTAACATACACTGTAAAATATCGAACAAGAAAGTGACCGTCTTCTACAGAATTTTCGGAAAGAGAGGTTTAATTTCCCCCTTTCTTCTTCTTATATGTGTGGTATTAAAATTGGCTGTATTGTAACTTTCAGGGGTGGCGATTTCTTTTCATGACCGGGGTGACGAAATGCGAGGGTACATTGGCGTAACGACCAAAAACGTATGGGGGAATAAGAAAAAAAAAATCTGCTCTTATAATTATGTTACATGCATGCCCCGTGGAACGATATTCAAAGTTGGGGGGGGGGGGGGGGGCTAAGGGGTAAGGTTTTAATCAAGGGATGGAACCCCCTGAAGCTGAGGGGTTTTAGGCATTTAATTACGGTCAGATGAGCACATTTTGATACCTTATTTGTGACACTGGCAGGTCACTAATTGGCGTGGGGTCCAGGGGGTGGATCCCCTTAAAGCTCAAGGGTTTTAGGCATTAAATAACGGTCAACTAGTGAGCATCCAGGGGCCCGCCTTATATAGGGCCCCTTGTAGGGGTACAGGGGTTGGACCTCCGCAAGCTCAGGGGTTTTAGGTATCTGCTATCTATATAATTATCTTGTATCTATTTATCTAGCTATCTACTATCTAATTACCCATCTCCATTTCTTTCTATATATCTATTTCTAATCAAACAAGGCGGACGCGAGAAATAGATATATAGAAAGAAATAGAGATGGATAATTAGATAGATAGATAGGTAGATAGATTAGAAAGATACATGATATATAGATAGCTTATAAGATAGATAAATAGGTAAATTGAGAGAAGATACAGAGAGAGAGAGAGAGAGAGAGAGAGAGAGAGAGAGAGGAGTTATGATATAATCATGATCATTTTGTTTAATTATATTTCTAACAAGTCTATAAAGGCGGACGTGAGAAAGAGATATATATATATATATATATATATATAAAGAAAGACAGATATATTGGGAGGTAGGTAGATAAAATGAGGGGAGAGAGGGAGATAAAGAAAGATAGAGAGAGAGGGAGAGAGAGAGAGAGGGAGGGAGGGGGAGAGAGAGAGAGAGAGGGGGAGGGAGGGAGAGAGAGGGGGAAGAGAGAGAGAGAGGGAGAGAGAGAGAGGGAGGGGGAGAGAGAGAGAGGGGAAGAGAGAGAGAGAGAGAGAGAGAGAGAGAGATACATGTAGGTAAATGAAAATGCTGGCCCTTTAAGCCCAAGATATTACTCATATATTGGCAGTACACTTTCAAGGAAAATATGCATCAATTGAGTTGAATGATCTTGTTTGTTTCATTATATTTGGTTCATAGTTTCTCCACACCTAGAATGTTCCCATAACTAAATCACAGTTGAGAGGCTCCAAAAATGAATACAAAATTCACGCAGAGTCGATGTTGAGTGTCCACAAATTTGATTGCTTGCAAAACATAGAAACTAGAAAACTCCCAATAGTTTAAAGGTAATACACAGTTTTGGTACGAGTCATGAATTTGGTTCAAATGAACATATTGGAAGCATATGCGATCCTACAATATGAAGCGATAGTTGTCGCGGTTGAAATCGAATCTAAAGTTATGAAATTGTAAACAATAAACTCTTTATGCTGTATAGCTCCCTCTCAAGGTCAAGATATTAATTAAGCTATAAAACAATGTTTCTTGACTAAATTTGACCGATTGGCTATTCCCGTTTAAAAATTATATATCGAATCTACATATTCTGAGAATTTCATGGTCGCAGCTACCAATGTACGGCCTTCATCAAAATTTACCAGGAGCACCGTTAAGTTTTTATATTAAATTTTTCTTGAAAACAGAAGTATTTTAGGGGCTAAATGTTCTAGTGCTTATAACACATCCACAGGAGCATTCAAATATATCAAAATTGTAAAGAATCACTATCCACCCAATTTCAAAATTTCCCCAAAACTTTGTATAACCGTTAACGGATCAATTCATAACTCACTAGCTATTGAAGAACGCACATTACAACTTACATGTACATTTAAAAACATAAACGGAAAAAAGGAAAGGAAACAACTTTTACATTGTATAAAGTACTTTATATTTTCATAAATGCATTACTTCAACATAAAAATATTTCATATCTTCAAAAAATTGCCTAAAATGGCTCTGCAAAATCAATAACACGATACAATTGTATTTTAATGACATAATCAACGAACATGTTCAATATATACATGTACAAAATGTTAAGTAATGATTATTCTATATGTGCCATATATCTATACATGTATCTCATGGTATGACATGAGCTGACATTGATGTTACTGTATTTATGAACACCAGTTTGCAACTTATCCAACAAATATATTCTGACAGGAAACTAATATATTCCATGCTTATTTGAGTTTTGTTTGTGCTCTGTGTGAAACCATTATACATGTGGATGAAATACATTTGACAAAAAAAGGAACAGGAAAAGGGTATTAAAAGCAGAAACAAAGTAACGAGGGGCAATTAAACATTTTATGATCTATAAACCAAGAGAGTATATGAACTTACTGAGATACATAAATACAAACAGTGTATTATTTGAATGAGAAATTGCACAACTAAGACATACTTAAAAGGTACTTGTCATTTCTATGCTCAAAGCCATTAGGTGGCATTTTGGACAGTGAAGCAAACATAGAAAATGGGGAAGTGATTTTTTTTTTCTGATTAAAAATTTATTACGTTTAGCGTAACATGATGTTTAAAGCCCCACTGCAATACTAAAAGCTACTTGCACCCTCTATATAGCAAACAATGCCTAATCGGTGACCGTTGGTCCCCCATAATCCCCTCTTTCTTATCTTAATTGAGAGCTGATTTGATGAGATAACCACCTGTCAGTGACCATGCAGGGAGGTCTAATCCCTCCTGGCCAACTAGTGCAGAGGGGCTTTAAGTGGGTTCTATTCGAGTGAATTACGAGTGTTATAATCATTGCAAAGCTCAGAATAGAAAATACACCCACAAAAATGGGAATTAGAGTAATTTCTTGTAGGTTTTGACTTTTTGAGAACAGAATTACATAACAATGGCCGTATTGAAGTGAAAACTTGAGGCTTGTTCCCACTTAGGCCTACATTTATGATGCAGTAAACTTTTTAAAACAATTATTTATTTTAATGAATGCACAATAGGCCTACATCTCTGTACCTATTACAGCCCACAAGATAGAGAGTATGCAGCCATAGGAAATATTTGTTTGCGTGCAGCTTGCCAGCTACTTTGTTTCATCCATTTACTTCATCAGTTTAAAAGAAGAGAAAAAGTGTAACCAAGCAATAAACAAACTCAGAAGAGACTGCCTCTGTGTGCTTAAATGTACATCAGCTATACAAAGTTCTATAAAGCCTCACATTTTCCTGAATTACAAAGGAGAGAAAAATCTGAAAGTCTTAAAAGACATGTACAGTGAACAAAATGTGCAAGAATATTGCTCATAATGTGCTTGTATTACATTGGTAGAGGAGGCGCGATGGCTCAGCGGTAGAGCAGTGGTCTCGTAACCAGGACATCCGGGATTCGAAACTAAGTCAATGCGCTCGTGCCCTTTGGTAAGGCTTTATTCCTCATTACCAAGTCCCTCAAAGAGAGCTTAAAGCCATTGGTCCCCTGGTTGCTTACTTACAAGCATACACATGCTTAATAGCAGTCAGGTAAAGCAATCCTTACACGTTATCACATACTGACAATCCATACTACAAATTACATTGTCTGTAATTGATTTTTCAACATACATGTATACTTCAATTTCAAATGAATCAAATGTAATCTCATTGAATAAATTGTTCTGAGTCTGTTAACTTGACCAACATACATGTACAAGTAGTTGTAGATTTTATTCACGATATAAATTTTGGTAGCTAATAATTACAGAAAAATAATTACAGAAAAATATAGTCCACTCAGCACAGTGTATCAAAGTGTTTGAAATGAAAGATATACTTATGGATTACAAATAGCGAAATGTCTTCATTTAAAATGGCTGCAAAGAGTTTAAGATTACCAGGAGCACACCATATTTCAGATTTGAAGGATGATTATTTTGTAACAACTAAACTCTTCGCAAATTGTCAATGAATGTCACCTTTGAGTAAAATCATATTACTGATAACAAAAGATATCATCTGTGATACATCTATTTTGGGGCATGAAGCTCTTAGGAATCTGGGCACTGTTCCATGTAATGTTATATTTTTTGTTAATAACAAGTTAAAAGAGTTGATAAAAGCTATTAAATCCTGGCATTTGATTGGCTATGAGCAATCTGTAAGATCAATGGAAGTTGTTATTGATAATAAGTCTTATGAAACAGGGCTCAGGATGTAATGTGAAAAGTAGGAAAGTTTCTAAATGTTAAAGTAAATGGAAAAAGAGGAACAGACTGTAATTCTCCAGCAGATATATTTGATGTGAAGGGTTATTTTGGGGGTTCATCAGACCTTAGGTTACTGTTTCAAAATTTCCTCCGTCAACAATCGCTCCCAGCTTAATATTATCGAAGATATAGGAATATTCTTAGGGTTGTATTCAAGTTTTAGACTCTGTTTAGGGTTAGGGTTAGGTACAGTGTTGAATTTGATTTTGAATTAGGTTAACGCGGAATCTTATCTGCCGAGCAATTGTCATCATGCACGGTTCACACACCATCCATCTCAATTATGTAGAAGATGTATTTGCTTGACGTGAAAGGTTATTTCCTAGATCTGTGCGTGACTCTCAGCGGACCATTGGATGCTCGTTGACTCTTTCTAGCTTCTCAAAATGTTTCCTGGCATTCTTGATGTTGATCAGGGTCGTGGCTGGGGCTGCAAGAGAGAAACAGAGAGAGAGAGAGAGAGAGAGAGAGAGAGAGAGAGAGGTGGACATTATTTTGCACATATTGATAAAAATACAGTTGTAACAATTTTACAAAAACATGATTTATAATAGTCTTCTCTCCTGCATGACCCAGGAATCTACACTTGTATGTTGCTTATTTCTAATGCATAGCAATATTTAAAGAGGTTTTTCAATAGTCAGAAAGCAAATTGCCTACCTTCCGTGTTGTTAAGTGGGGCAAGAAATAATGTTTGTCCTACCTATTGCAACAAATAATGCATCCAATTTGGATCCTGACAATATATTGAGATACTTTTATTCGTAACACGTGAATGAAATAAGTTGTATCGAGGCACTTCACAAAGATGTATGCATTAAATTTGATTCCATTACAAAAATGGCATACTGAACGGAACAGTGGCACATTCACTCGGTCAGCTCTCTGTCATCAGGGACTTTTAGATTGAGTGGACGAGAACGGCGGGAACGTCCACTGATCATGCCTGTCTATGGCAAGCCGTTTTCACATTTATTCAAGAATTACCATTGCTTTACTACAGAAAATCAAGTATGTTTTTGATGAGTTGAGAATAAATCGGAAGCGAAATTCAGAAATGAAGAAATAGGAATAAATATTAGAAAGGCTTGCCATGGACACACATGATCAGTGGACGTTCACGCCGTTCTCGCCCACTCAATCTAAAAGTCCCTATTGTCTACAAACTGGCTCAGATTGATGTTAATATCACACAACTGAAATTTTAAGATATATACTTACGTATTGACAGGTCACTCATGATGACCATGACGTATGTATTCTGAGTGAAGACGTCGATGAAGGCAGCAAAACTGGAATTCCTAACCTCCATACTCTGGAATGATGCTGCCAATTTACTGCATAAGGATAAGAATTGATATAACTGGTTTAATACAAAACAGAACACTACTAGGTCAAATGTATATGTACTTGATGCAAAATTTATGGTTCAAAGGATATACAGTCAAACCTGTCTACAAAGACCACCTGTCTATAAGCACATTTTTTGTTTCCCTTGAAAATGGTTTCTCATTGAAACATGTACTAAGGAACCTGTCTACAAATACCACTTTTTGTGTTTCCCTTGGGCAGTCGCTGTAGACAGGTTTGACTGTACATGTATTGACATATATAAAAAAAGGTTGATTGAACTATATCGAAATGAATTTTGTTGCCCATTAGCACTTTCAAATCTCCTTGACAAACATGGATTTGTAAAGCTTCTGTCTAGTAATGCATAAAGTATGAGTTGGGGCATGTTTTTGTGCTGGTATTTTTTAAACCCCCCATTGCATTAACTGATTAATATAAAACTGTGCCAAACATATATTGCCACCTCTGGTTTTTTATGGGAAAATGTTGTTTTCTTAATTTTGGGTGGCATTGAGAACTAGCTCTGCTTCTGCATGACTCTTACACTGACTTACACTTAATGACAGGTGAAGTTATACAGATAATTCTTTATGCACATTTAGAATGCATCTACCATTCAAAAATGTACTTAAAGGGGGTGTTGCATGACAAATACTGGTTAACGCTATTTACAACTTCTTTTAGACAACTGCACGTAACGAATGGACTTGATTAATGGTCAGCACGTGCTTGCGTTCGCGAAACAGACCAAACTTATCCTCATGCTTAGTTTTGTGTATGTTGAACGCACATTAATTCTGCGGTCGCGTCGTCCGTAGTCGTATTATACCAGATTGGCCCTGGGTCATGCCACAGGGAAAAAGACACGTAGTCTCGTCATGCTGCACCCCCTTTAATGTTGAATATATTCATTACCTGCAACTGAGCTTAAACTGCTTGATGATATTGCTAATCTTCTCAAATCTATGTACATCTCTGTGTTCTCTCCTTTGACAATGTGAGATTACCTGCAAAAACAAATAATCATGAGTTAGATTAGATATCATGCTTCCAAATTTGGGTGGCTTCATGAACAATGATTAATTAAAGGGATAAAACCCCTCCCCCCATCCAATTTTCTCTTGTTTCCCATGTTTGAGGTTTCATTCAGCTACTACTGTATAGACAAGATATCAACTCCAATAGTCTTTTCAAAAGAATGAATGAAATATCCTGTAGGTTTCAGTTTTTGACCGATCAAAGCCATAATATGTCTGATTCAGGGCTCTGTTATATAATAAGCAAATATTAACCGACTACGAGGGTAATAGATACAAACTATCATCGCCGAGGTGATCTCGGGGCTACTATCTTCCCGAGCCACAAGGCGAGGGAAGATGGTAGCCCCGAGATCAACGGGGCGATGATAGTTTGTATCCATTGCCCGAGTAAAGGAGGTTAATATTTGTTTTATATCCCACATCGGCAATAAGGTCTATCTAAAGTGAATTTTACATAATAATAACGGATTCTGCAGACAGTTAAGCTTCAGCTAGATTTTACAAAGCGCAACATGCATACATGTAAGTCGATACGCGCTCATTTGACATTGACATTGACTTTGACATTTCGCGTAACCTACTTTGCTATGCGTATTCAATGGGCAAGGGTGGGCAAGTGGGGTAGCAGCAAAAAATTACTTTACAATAAGTACTCGATCTCTCAGGTAGATAGTACCTGTCTATACCTTTTTCGTGCTCTGTACAATCGCAATGCAAACAACTATACATGAGGGATATAAAATTTGTTATCAATAACAAGAAATGATATATTTGTTATAAGCTACTTGAAATTGTGGCATTTACTTGGCTGAGAGAAGATTTGTCATAGAATTTCAGCATTCGTTATTGATAAGAAGTTTTATGAAACAAGGCCCAGAAGTATTCAGACCACAACAATTGCGTTATGAAACACTCTCGTCATTCCTTATGACCTTTTGCTACCCAAAGTAATTCATGATTCTGGGATAATACAGGTGCTATGGCTCCTGTCTTATAAACAGTTGCGATTAATTGTAACTTATTTGCGATTGACATCAATTGCATCTATGTACATAAGACATAAGAAACTGTAAAATTGTGATTGATTCAGATCAATCACAACTCTTTATAAGACGGGGCCCTGGGACAGCAGCTGCGATGATCCTACTGTACGTACCATCTTAGCAAATACATTTAAGATATCATTGTTTGACATTTTTTTCCAGAGAAGAATTCATCAATCACTTACAAGGAAAGTGGCCCTTTCGAACAGGAGCACCTCATCGGCATCGATGATGTCAGCAAAGTTGATGAGGTTGGTCTTGAGCTGTTCGACGTTGGGAATGAGGAGGTAGACGATGGAGGACCAGGCCTGGTAGAGGGTCTCGTCCCAGATGGACGTCCTGAAACAGGTGCAGTCCAGGGGCTTGGATAACCTCTTCAGATCCTCCTCCCTCTCCTTGAAGATCTATAGTCGGTTTAAAAATAAAGAGGAAAATACATTAAAGCCCCACTGCACTACTTACAGGTATTTGCACCCTCTATATAGCAAACAATGCCTAATTGGTGCCTGTTGGTCCCCCATGATCCCCTTTTTCTTATGTTAATTCAGAGCTGATTTGATGAGATAACCACCTGTAGTGACCATGCTGGAAGGTCTAATCCCTCCTGGCCAAACTAGTGCGATGGGACTTTAAGACTAAAAAAGTATTAAGATTAATTGCATTATGATTATAGCATGAAGGTGGGATCCATTTGACACATTTTGGCACTTACCAATTCCCTCTTATCCTGTTGTACCAAGTCCATCTTGTCGTTGAGGCAGAAGATCTTAGCATTGGGTGACTTCTGCAGGATTTACACAATTTTACCACATTAGGAGGCCCGATAGCTCAGTCGGTAGAGCAGTGGTCTCGTAATCCGGTGACCCGGGTTCGAAACCAAGGCGATGCGCTAGTGCCCTTTGCTAAGACATTAATCCTCATTACCAGGTCCCTCGGAGAGGACCTAAAGCCGTCGGTCGCTTACTTACAACTAATTATGCTTTCTTAGCAGTCAGGTAAAATAACCACCATCAATCATCTCTTACATCAAAGCAGATACCAATAGCCAACCCCTCCAAACTTTCCCTTAGTCAGGCTATAAGATCAACAACACCCCAGAGAGGAACATCTCTTTTGACCCTTACCAGTTCCCTCTGATCCTCTTGCACCAAGTCCATCTTGTGGATGAGGCAGAAGATCTTAGCGTAGGGCGACCTCTGCAGGATGGCCTCCAGACAAGACTGGTAGTAATGCATATCTTTGTCCAGTTCCCTGCTCTCCACGTCAAAGACATAGATCAGCACCTCCACATTGCGGAAGATGTTGTCCTTCTGACTGGTGAAGTAGTTCTCCATGAATGCTTCTTGTCTAAGATTTAATGAAAGTATTTTTTGGTAAAAAGTCTGTGTGTTTAAAGCTATGCCTCAGGATTCCTTAACTCTTAATGGCGTTGGTATATTTTGGTAGTAAAGCAAAACAAAACAACAACAACCTAGAACAATAGTTAGGTTGCTATTTTCAACTTTTGGTGGTCTTTAACAGTGTATTACACATCTTATCTGAAACATATACTGTACATGTAGCTCCTGCATTATTTTTATGAAGTGAGAAATGGAATTACTGTACACAAAATCGATACGACAGGTTGGTTAAAACAAAGCTTTACCAGTTAATAGTTGTTTTTCAATATTACTTAGAACAATAAAATTTCTTCATTTAAGTTATTTTAAGTTAAAGTTGAATTGAATTAAATTAAAGTTCAAATTCTATAGAAATCAATGTAACTATTAGTGACTAATTAAAGATTGATTAAATTAAGACACACGTACAGTCATGTAAGCCAAATTGTCAAATAAATTGTTCATCTTACCCTCCACAGTCCCAAAGGTTGAGAACCAGGTTACCCAGAAACCTGACATGTGAGTGCTCAACATCAACTATAATGAAAACAACAAGAACATTCATTGTAAATAAAGAAAACAATTCCTCAAGATTCTAACATCCTATTATCAATGCAGGTACATGTGCTAATCCTACGATTAAACAATTTAAAACTACTTAATTTTCATTTATTAAAGGAGGAAGATAAATGTAACTGACGATAAAGATTTCTGAACATACAGATTGTAAATAACCATTGAACTTACACGCAATTACTATATTTCACAATTTCATTGCCTTATGATGAAAGAGTGTACACATGCTATTAGTATGTATTCAAAATCTGGTTATTTTACGTTGAGAAGCTATAAGAATATCATATATTTCTCTCACAATGACAGTAAAACAATAGGTATGAAAAGTTGTTCCTAAAAAGATATAAAAAGCAAAGAAGAGTAACTACACAATGCTGTTCACACGATTTAATAATTTTGCGGCAGGAAATTTTTGCGATCTGAACCACTGCTCGAAACTCACAAACAGTTAAGAAAGTTAATGGGATTTTACAACATGCAAATCTAGAGCTCTGGGCAGCGTTTCACAAATCCATCATCATCACACAAGTTCACCGACATCACAATGAAACGCATACATTGTAATTAACATGAATTTTAATGGGATGTAGGTGAACTTGTACATAGGACGGTTCTGTGAAAGGATGCCCTGGACTTACTTGTGGCTCCAAGTCTTCTTGTATCTCTGGCGATGTAGTTGGCAAAGATGATGGATCTCATGCTGGTCTTCCCAGACCCACTCTTCCCCATCAATAATACCTGAGAGAAAAGAAAAAGAGTTAAAAAAATTTAGAACGGGACAAAAATAAGTCCTGCAGCAGAAGTAGCAAAAAAAACAAAACATATTAAAGTGGAGAGAGTAACTCAGGAGCTCTGAAAAGTTTGGAAATAGCTCTTGAGATTTTAACAATAAGTTTGGAAAAAATAAACTGATAATGATGGCTTCTTGTATAGCGCCAGTGTCTGCCTCTGATGGGCCCTCTAAGATGTGTCACAAATGTTATGTTCTTGGTCAGTGTTTCAAATTCAGATTATTTTCCATTAGTCCTTGATTTTGTAGTCCCATACATCTTCCTGTGTACAGTGCTTGTTATTTTACCAAGACTGGGCCAAATTTCTTTCTTATCATTTAAATGACTCCAGAACCTTGCAGTACACATGAATACTAACATGCTACATGATCAACCTTTTCTGATCGATTCCATACCGTTTCTTTCACAATGCCATCGCATGACCAGAACTCAACTTTGTCTTTAAGTCACACCCCCAAAGCCAGGTTTTAATATTATGTTCTGTCTATAGTCAGTCTGCAGTGGGTCTAGCTGGTGTGACCCAGGTATTGACAAAAATATTCAATTTGTGACAATATCACTCATAGGAACCAATACATATGTATACAACTATCATTAAAGATTGCAATTTGCTTGTAGCAGTATACCTTCTTATGGCATGGAGGACAGTAAATCTTATAGTCATTATTATTAGCATCTTGTGAAACTGGAGATGCTCTCTTTTTCCTTCTTAAATACTGAGTGTGGAGCACTTCCAACTTGGCCAGAAACTCCTGCTCCGATTTGTTTCTCTTTAAGCCCAAGGTTCTTGCAGGTTCTGTCATAGTGGCCAAATGGAATGCAAAGTCAATAATACCCCAGTTCCAGTGAGTTAATCTATAGACCACAATATCCTCTATATTTGGGCCACTTGAAATAGTTTAAGATCGCTCAAGGAAACAGCCGAGCTAAAACAATCCATACTCTAGCAGCAAAATTAGGACTTTTATCAACCCAGCTGTACTTGGAAACGAAAGACTGTTCGCCGTATGACATCCACACTACATGTACATGTATAACGTCTCTTTAGATTGAGTGACACTTCTGACTTTGAAATCCATAAGCGGTCACTACAAACTGGTCAGAGTTTTGCTTGCTCAAATCTTTTTCTCAAATCTGCGCCTAAGATGGTCTCCTACAAAACAATATAGATTCACCACATCATCAGCAAGATGAACACGAAATAGCCTAGATCTCAATTCTCAATGCAGTGGCTGTCCATGCATGCTACCAGCTTATGACGAATCACTACAGATTGCTCTGCACTGCTCATATCCATAATTTCTCCTTAATCCAGCTCATGATTATTTCTTCATCCAAAACAACAGATGACACCGTGACACAAAATATGATGTCACAACCACAGTTCCATAGAGATGTTCAATCCCACAGGAAGAATAAAAACAACAGTAGTTTTTTAAATATATTGTGACTGTTCCTACTACTGAAATTCATGTACACGTCCTAAGCGGTGCAAATGATATACAAGAATGAATCTGTAAAGTCATAGTGGTAGATATACTATATCCCCAATTACTAAAAGCAGATAGCAGTTGTTGATATTTGATCGCTTAAGATATCGAATCACACGACAGTGATAAGGGTGCCTGTTCCTCTTCAAAGTTTTATCAGCAATTCAGCACCTACATGTAGGATATCGATACACAAACTCTTTCTGATCCATGCCTCGGTAAGTTGAAACATAATTACACGGTCAGCACTCAGCACATACATAAGGAAATCCTTAATTTCACAAAGATTCTAGAAATCATCCCTAGAGATGTGAGCGCTGTATAATCACAACCAATCATGTCCAAGTCAAGTTCAAGACTTCTTTATTAGGCCTTAGGACCGATTCACTAGATCTACTATTTACATGTATAGAGTAGGTAAACTTTGGGAGATTGAGTAGGCAAAGACACACATTTTGAGGAGATAACATATCAAATAACTTATCACTGTAAGCCAATTAATCTGAACCAAAGTAACTTGGCCTAGATCTTTTAGATGGTATGGGGTATAATCTACAAAGGAGTTCTTTAGAGAGGTTAAAGTGCAAAGTTCTCACACCTGTTTAAATCTGAAGATAATAATCCTAGCTGTCAAAATCTAGGAATGTTCATCAGGTGTGTCAGACTATCCTAAGTTTAAAAAAAAAGGGGGGGGGGGGGAGATCAGGCCTTAAATTAATCGACGGCCATCGAAGTAAAGAAAATCAGACAAAATCACCATGACTGACGCTGCGCTGCAGTTAACTCCAGGAGGCTCCAACACCGGCACCGCAGGCGCACGCCTATGGCGCCGGTGTTGGGGCTTCCTGGAGTTACGCTGTGCGCTGTTCAGTGTGTGAGTTAAGCTGAGCTAGCTGAGCTCGAATCAAAGAGTTTTGACACTTTGAAATTGCTATCTGTTGGTTTGCATCATTATTGCCGCGATTTATAGTTTCATGAATAGATGTACGAAACCTGAGCTTAGAATTAGTAAAAGTATTACTAATGTCTAAGTTTATAAACGACTATCTGATTTTCTTGTGAAAATTTTACTTTGAAAAATGATTATCGAAATTCATGGCCATAAATAATCACAATCTAGGGTCTATTATGTCACAGTTCTTGCATCAAATCAATGCATGAAAACTTAGTTATTGAACTAGAAAAAAGGGTTTCTTTTTTAATAGGCAAATTTTATGAAGCAGGAAGCCCGAAACCTTATACTGTTTTCACACTGATTTTGCTTAACCCCGTACTTTGCTTAGCCCCGTACTATTCTTAACCCCGGACTATTTTTTTGGCTTTTCACACTCGCTGTTTTAAGTCCCGTACTAGCGCCTATTCCGGAATAAGAAAATTCCCGCTGTTCTCACTGCATTTCGTTAACCCCGGATATCGTGTATGTTATGATAGGACATACTTCGCATCTGGCCAGCTGCGATACGCTCCATTGCGTAGTACTGGACTATTTTTCGTTTCTGTTCTCATTCGTTTGCTTAGCACCGCAATTGCGGGGTTAGCAGGAGTTAGCACCACAATTGCGGAGTTAGCCCTGCTATTTTGCAGGGTTAGTTAACCCCGTACTATAGGTGGGGTTAGCCAACTTTAGCCCACTTTGGTAAAAGCCAGTGTGAACAGAAAGTGGAATAGGCTTAACCCCGTACTATAGGTGGGGTTAAGACCCCCCCCCCCCTTAACCCCACCTATAGTACGGGGTTAAGGAAAATATTGCCAGTGTGAAAAGCATATAAGCCTACTAAACAAATCTCAACAAACTGTAGACCCCCTAGGTCTATCCTTTTATGAATTAATGAAAAAGTAGCCCCAGAAAAAAGAGCCCCAGAAATGGAAAAAAAAGCCCCGAAAGTTGAAAAAGTAGCCTGAGAAAATTTCCAAAAATTTGAAATGGAGCCCCCGAAATGAAAAACTTATTTTTTTCCCTGGGTTTGTTAACACAACAATCAAAAAGATAATTTCTTCAAATTTGCTCCTACTACCAGCTACCGAGAGTGTGGCGGAAGGTTTGTGTGTGAGGTGCGATTTCGATTTGGGATACCCGGTAAACTTGCCAAGTCCTTCTGACTTTCGATGTTTGTGAAATTTACAATTTATTTATTCATTTGCTCATCAATATTTTTAGTTACTTTAAAATATGCAAGTTTGATGTTCTTAATCAATCTTTCCTGTTGATATTGTTGAGCTTAAAAAGTTATTAAATTGATCGTTCTATTCACATTATGAAATTAACATTGTATCTTTGAACTTATAATTAGATTAGGGGCCTAGTCTATCTGTTTTTGGAAAATTGCCCCTGGTTTTTAGGGAATTGCCCCTTGCTCTGGTAAATTCGCGTGGGCAAGGGGCAACTTTAGAAAAAAAATTGCCCCTTGCTCCTGGCTGCTTAATCTAAGGCTTGCGGGGGCTGCCGCCGTTGTTTGTATGTAACGTAGACCTCTATACATTCTGTGACGAAGCTGGTGCTAAAAGTCATGGGAAATTGATCCCGCACAAGTTTCATAATAAAATACACATGACATCTAACAAAAATAGAATCAATTTTTTTTTGGCCTCGATGCCCTTTTTGTAAAAATATTTTGGCCTTGGTGCCCTTTGTAGTGGGCTTGGTGCCCTTAAAAATATGAGGTACTTTAAGGCCAAACTGGCCTTGCCCTAAAAATGACGAAATTTAAGGCCTGGGAGATATTACACTAAATTTGCCTACAAAGTAGTAAAAACGTTTGAGAAGACCAAAAACTAAATATAAAAGCAAAAAATATATACATGTACATGTACAGGTATATAACAAAATAAAAACAATTGGAAATTTCCTGCTAAGAAAAAATATCCTAATTTAATATTTTGAAATGTATGCATACAGACTTTCTGAGAAAAAAAACAACAAAAAACAACAAAACAACAAAACATAGCAATTTTTTTATTCTCTTCCATTCATTGTATACCGACAATTAAGACTTAAAGAGAAATCCAAGTTCTGTATTTAAAGGTAGAGGACTAGATCAAATGCAGCTGAAGTTGATATCCATGTATGGTTCCGTGGCATGCTGAAGTTGATATCCATGTATGGTTCCGTGGCATGAGCCCAGCTTCATGTAGTCTGAAAAATACATGTAAGTCTATTTCATGTGGGGTTATGTTCCACTGAGACCATTACCCCATGTATACTTCCATTTAGAGTTACATGAACAACCACCCAGCTGTGTATGAGACTGACTCAAGTCACTACGGTAACCGATCAGATGTCACATGTTCATCCAGTGCGCGACAATCCAGCTGCTTGATCTTTGTAGTTCTCTTTGAACTCAACTGCAAAGCTATTTCATCTTAAGACCAAAAGCTTCGGTCTCTGATATGGACGGTCATTGCGCTGAGACATCTGGTTAGGCCCTCAACGCCTCTATACATATACAGAGACTGAACGACATTGTGCGAGTTCAAGTATGGTGTTTGGTATTGGTGTTGAGAGCGTGGAAAGGCTGCTGAACCGAGTTCCAACACCTAGGGTCAGTTTAGAAGGAAGATACCGATCACATTATCGACAGCTGAACACCGAGTGACGTTGCACCTTCACCCGAAAAGTCTCGAAGATGAAAGTGAATTAAATTAGAATAGCATTCAAATTTCATTTTACAGAATATAAAATCTAATGCCATATAAAAAAATCAATAGAGATTTTAATTTCTCTTGAAAAACATGATAGATCTAGACTAGATCTAGATCAAGATCTTTTAGCTCCCATGATTTCCAGTTATTTTGACTGTAGAATAGATCCACAATGGATTTGACCTGGGCATGATCGTGAGATTCGTGACAGATGCACGCATAGTAAACTGTAACACCAACACCAACACCGAACTTGAAATCATTAATTTTTCAATCCCTAGCCTAGGGGCTGGTGTCAGTTTAAATTGTCAACACCAAACCGCGGCAAACGCGATACTTGGTTCTGGCTTCAGCAGACGACATTCAAGTTCAACACAGACCGTACCGGAAATGCGTCATATTTTCCGAGGTCAATCACACCACCAGCATGACTTCAAGTTCGGTGTTGCGGCTGGTGTTGGTGTTCTCACAACACCAACACCAGCTTTCGACACCAAACTTGAAGTCAGTCACTCAGTCAGTCTATACTAGCCTAGACCGAATTTTCCGTCTCTTTCGTTCGTTAGCCTCTTATTGGGGTAGGGTCGGCTGGCTCTCTCTTTAGAGACGGAAGCCGTTTATACACATGTCCTTGCTAACGCCACGGCCAGTTCTGGTCGTAGCGTTTTGCCCCCAAAATCCCCCAAAATGTCATTTTACCTCATGCATTGATTATTTAAAATTAGGAGAAGGTTATACTAACATCGGTTCCACTAACCAACTTGACTGTATAATCCGTTTAATGGTCCCTTTTAAGGAAATTACGGGTCTAAATTGACAGCCGTGTTGAAAATCTTGCAAGGCGTGTTAAACTCTCGCTGCCGGAGTCATCTAAATCAATCTCATCCCTTCTAGTCTACGCCGAAGGCAAAATGATTATGAAGGAAAAACTGTGCGCCATCTACACGTTCGTAATGGCGTTATCACAGTTTTTCCTTCATAATCATTTTGCCTTCGGCGTAGACTAGAAGGGATGAGATTGATTTAGATGACTCCGGCAGCGAGAGTTTAACACGCCTTGCAAGATTTTCAACACGGCTGTCAATTTAGACCCGTAATTTCCTTAAAAGGGACCATTAAACGGATTATACAGTCAAGTTGGTAAGTGGAACCGATGTTAGTATAACCTTCTCCTAATTTTAAATAATCAATGCATGAGGTAAAATGACATTTTGGGGGATTTTGGGGGCAAAACGCTACGACCAGAACTGGCCGTGGCGTTAGCAAGGACATGTGTATAAACGGCTTCCGTCTCTAAAGAGAGAGCCAGCCGACCCTACCCCAATAAGAGGCTAACGAACGAAAGAGACGGAAAATTCGGTCTAATACTAGCCTAGATGGGAGGCCATGGGAGGCGAGTCCATGGGAGGCGAGTTGGCTCAGTCGGTAAAGCGTCTGTCTGTCGAATGAAAGATCCCGGGTTCGACTCCCACCCAGGCGGATGACTGAAGCCTGCATTGTGTGTTAACATGCGCCTTCCCTTGTTCATAGACGCAGGTTAAGCGGAAAACACTCCGTCCCTCGGATAGGACGTTAAATGGAGGCCCCGTGTAGAGAAGAGTCACTACCTTTGTACGTTAAGAACCCACTGCACTATTCGTATAAGAGTAGGGGGAAACCCAAGTGTAGGAAGAAGAAGAAGAAGAAGAATCTGATGTTCATGTTGTGCCAACCAACGCCAGTGCAGTCACACACAGGCATAGACCGAAAGCTTCAGTCTCTCTAATCGTCGGTTGTTCCACTGAGACTACGTCTGGCTCCACTAGACCTCCGATTATAGAGACTGAAGTCTGGGGACCTCTTTCTGTGAGGCACTGTACGGAACAAATGGTTCGGTTCGACCGGACCGCGATGAATGAGATATGCAACGAGATTTTCACTCTTTACATCCTCATACATGCTGCAATATGACAATAATTTAGAGTCTAATTAAAAATAACATATATATAGCTTATTTGACTTACGATAGCTTGCTCATTTAGATCCTAAATTAATGATTAATCCGAGAAAGTCTCGTCGTCAACATTATCCGTCTTGGTTTTAGTTGATGAATATTCATTTTTTCTTTTCGAACGTCCAATAGCTACCGTAGCTACGTACGAGTCGGCCCAGCTTGACCAACGAACTCCCACGAAACGAGTGCTCTGATTGGCCATTTGGCTATGTTTTGGTAGGTGGACCCGGAAATATATCGGCCGCCGGGTAATATTTCGAATGCATGAACGTACCGTTTTACAGTTCGGAAATACAAATTGGATAATTCATATAAGTAAGTCCGTAAATTATACATTTAATATTAAGTTATCAAATTTTGATAACTGTAATTAGGACAAATGACATACCGACCTAATTTACATCTGATTTAGAAATCAGAAAATTAGATCTAAATAAAGAAAATCGGGGAGAAAATTTTTTGACACAAAAAGCTGCCATTGTTGGCTATAGCTACCCCCGCGGTACGAGATCTCTGGGTTGCCATCTGTATTGGGGAATGACAACAAATGTCAGTTTTATTAAAGAAATGACCCAAATCAGATGGTTATTGCTGTCTAACACAGGCAGTGCATTTGCAGTGCACTAGATCTAGCACTGAGTAGCAGCGAATAGTACGCGGCTCAAAACAAAAAATCAAACAAGAAATAGTCTACGAACGTGACGAATTAGAGGAAAATTATTGATGTGATTAAAGAAACATGAAAGCCATAGATTAGTATAAAACTTACCTTCTTCTTCATGTCCGATGATTTTCTTGAACTTTCCAGCTTGAAGCTTAGAATTGACACTTCACCTAAGTCCTATTAATAGAGATCGTACTAATACTGTTTACTAGTGTGCAGCTTGCGCGATTTTCATGTAATGTCTATGTAGTGTTCTGTATTACGCACGCGTACGTACGGGTACGTACTCAATAACCCGTGACCACATGTGACTTTAGGATGATTCTATTTTATCTGAAGGTTTTAAAAATTTCAGGAGGATAAAATATAAAATTATATTAGATATAAGAAATTAAGAATAAGTAATTATTAATTTCTGATATAAATAAAGAGAGATATTTAGCAGCATATCTGCCATTTACTGCCTCTTATTTGATATAATTCATTGTTGAATGCAGCTAGTATTGCAATTTAACCCCTTAATAAATAAACGCGTCCAAATCTCCCATCAATGGTAAACAATTTCCGATTTTGAGGTCTGCTAAGAATATGGCGATCTCTGCCTTGGGAATTATTTCAGGTTGAATCATCAAGTGTGGAAAACTGTGCCAGAATTCAAACATTGGAAGTGTTATTTAGAGGAATATCGAGCAAAATGGGGGACAAGGAACGACCTCATGCTCGGATGCTGAGGCAGCGTGTGGAGGATTCGAAGGCTGTTCGAGAGAAAGTGTCCATCGCTGTCCGTGAAAGCCGAGTTTTGGGCGTAAGTAGATCATGGAGCACAGAGATTTTGCCATGGTGCATGGACCGTATACTGTAGTAGGCGGGGTGTCGTAAATGTGTGTGTGGTAAAGTGGTGGTGGTGTTATTGGTGGAGGTGGTGTGTATGAAATTGGTAGGCAATCGGTGTGTGTGTGCATGTTGTATGGCTTCACATCAAAAGGATTTTCGTTTCTGTCTCATGTGTTCCTGATACCGGATGTAAATCAACACCAGTTGTGTTGTACAAGTGAATGATGTGCATACATCTACTTACAATGTATGTAAATGAGTGGTACTAAAACTAAACTACAAAACAACATGCAACAATTACCTCCAATATAGCACGTTCATTACACCTGCAGTACCTTTTCACTGTATTGTAGATCAATGTAATTGACTTCACGCTCATGTGAAAATGAATAAATCTAGTAATCCTTTAATTAAAGCTGACATGTTTATTATTTACAAATTACCTGCCGGTACATTTTTTTTCATGGGGAAAGTGTCACGCTTTTTAATTCACTTCCTGAAGTTGATATCAGCTATCATATCAGGTACATGTACCGACTTTATAAATTCAAAAGTAAAAAAAGCTTGTCATTAACCTTTTTATAAGACATGCATTATTTTCTCAGATGGAGAATCATGGAAAAATACGCTAAATATGCAGGCATATCCAGGAAAGCTTAATTAAAAAAAAATAATTGGTATTGCTGGATATCTGCACAGTAAAGAAAGTTGTTACCTGTATTTGTTTGTTCGAGGCCCTTAAATCAGGGTACCTATTCAGTGTCAGATAAATGATTGTGTCTGCTGGGGGAGGTACAAATTCTATGACATGCAAAAAATAAAGATCCAACTACTCCTAAGGTTCTTGATATTTCTGCTCCTGCTAAAGCATTATATCTGAAATGCCCCCGCCCCTCCGAAAGCAAATAGCCCATGCTTATTTGTGTCCTTTACTGGACTGGGGGGGGGGGGGATCATGTTGTGTGACAGTTTCCCTCGGTGCCCCCTTGGACGTGCCATTGCCACATGTATATCAGGATATTTTGCTTGGTCCTCCTTGATACCTTCTCACCCATATATTTAAGCAAGCACAGTGTTCGTAGAAACCTTAAATGCTCAGACGCACTGGTAAATTAGAGACCAGTAGCAATTAGACAACTTTATGGGTTTGCAAGTCACAGCTAAGTTCACAAACAAGTCACTTGTATATTACAGTCGGGAGTAAAATTACAATATCATGGAAAAGCAAAGTTAAATTTTGGGAGGTTTTACAAGCAACCCTAAATGATTCTCATTCGAACAGCTGTGCATGGGCACAAGTAAAGTTGCTCTTGTCTTTGTGAAGTTGTACATTGTACTTCTGACAAGACAATGGAGATTTCTTTTCAGTTCACTAACAATTGTGAATGAACCATGTCATCACCACAGTGCCTCTTTTCAACTGTTTAGGAGGCATTATCCTTTTATTGAACTGTTTTCTCTGAACAAAGTCAACAAGCACATTGGAACACATTGTTCAGTGTGAACAAACGGATTCAAATTAGGTGAATAACGTAATTTGTTAATTAAGAATAAAATTAAGAGTATTCTTCATATAGTTCTAGACTTGAAGAAAAAGTAGCAAGATCTGGACAGTTGCCATTTTCATTCTATTCAGCTCAACTTCATGTACAATGTAACCAATGCAAATAACAATAGAATGCAAAGATTAATTGATTCAAAGCAGAAGAGGCATAATGGGCACAAATTATATGACTGTTTTAACACCAGGGCTCTGTCACACAAGGCTTTTAAAAACAATTGATTGAATGATTGATGGATTGATTGATCATGTATGTAATCAGTTTGATTTATTTTGTAATCCATTTCAATATATACCCTTTAATAATTGGAATTATATTTTTCTTTTGAACTTATTCTAAATACTTTGAACTCTGAACTATACATGTATAATCAAATTTCCAATTTGTCTGCCATCAGCTCACAGGTTAAAAGAGAGAGAGAGAGAGAGAGAGAGCGAGAGAAAGAGAGAAGGGAAGAGAAAGGAAAGAAGAGGATGAATAGGATGGTGGGAACTGGGAACGATGGTCATGTTTATCGATCACAAATGCAATTACTTGAATTCTCCATTGAATTATGATTCATAATTTTTTTTCTATTTTTGATGTTCTTATTTAAACTGCAGTTTTTACCCTGAATATCATCTTGTTTTTTTTAATAATTTTACCATTTGCCATACCAGTAATATATGGTATTCTATTTTTTTCCTTCTTTTTGATTTGCTTACAAAATGTGAACAAGTCGGCCATTGGCTCATTTTTGATGTAGTTGTCTAAACAAGGTCTAAAGTAAACAACTTCAACGTTTAAGAGTTAACACCTGAAATTCTATTTTTGTTTCTAAACTTGAACAGTGAACACCATTTAAATGGATTATCTTCAACAAGCAACACATAACTCTGTGGTGATGACAGCCGTGTTAATATAATCCTAATTGCCACTGACGTCTGTATTAGACCATTAGCTCATTCGTTGGCATTTGTAGGTGGGTAATAGGCCGAAGGAAATGGGAATTCTTGGATCTTTTCCTGAGGTGTGCGACAACGTTTAATTGATTACCAGCTGCCGGCGATGACTATCGCTTGTTGAGTGTGATGTACTATTTGAGGAGGTCTGTGCAGGACTATCGAAGGTTGTTGCTGTGATTCCTTTGAAGATGATCATGTACAGTATGTATGTGGAAGGCTTTTGTAGCCAAAAGTCAAAAGTGATGCAGGCCTGGTCCTCAAAAGATTAAAGAAGAGCTCTGGAGAAGTAAAAAATGAGCGTCCGAGAAAAAACGAGGATAAATTATGCTTTTACATGCAATCATAGTACATGGTTGCTTGTGACTGTGCTTGTGACAGACTTGCACAGGACATGGTTTTAAAGTTGAAACACATTGGGCTTTTTAAAATACCTGTTGATTTGAAATTCTTTGGTCCAAGGGAGGACGACATACAGTAGATAGTTGAAGAACAAAAAATATATAAAAAACGGACAGAATCTGGACAAGTATACATGTACAGTGAATACATGTACATGTACACTGTGAGTTCAATGATGTGGAAATTTTGCCGAGTTATAAAACCAGAAGCATGCAGTAGGCACCCTTTTGTTTATTATCAAATATTGGCTGTGTTGTCAAATTGTAAACAACCTGTTCCAGCCAAGGGACCTTCCCTGCGTGGAAGGCCAATGGATGGTCCATGGTCTAACATGCTTTCAGTGAGACTGAAAGTGGCCTTCCCCTCTCCATATCATAGAACACAGATCCCTCATCATTTGGAGGATTAAGAGAGGGATTAAGGAGATTAATTAAAGCTGGAGGTTGTCTTCCAAGGGGGTGATTCATCGTCTTGCCCTTCAGCGCCGCTCCAAACCCGTCTCCTTCATTGGCATTCTTACGACTTAATTGAACATGTTTATCATTCAGATTTCAGTGGAAATGTATATACTGGCTAGCGTGCATCTCATCTTTCCTATCGAACATTTATGAAGGGCCTACAAACCCGTCTCCTTCATTCATTCACATTCTTACGACTTAATTGAACATGTTTGTCATTCAGATTTCAGTGGAAATATATATATATACTGGCTAGCGTGCATCTCATCTTTCCAATTGAACATTCATGAAAGGCCTACAGTAGTGCACATGGTGTACATGTACATGTGTAATTTGTACATTTCCTAAACTCTATTTTATACTGTAGGAGCAGCCCCCCCCCCCCCTCCCACGAAAATAAACAGGCAAACAAAAAACAGAACAGAAAAAGAGGAAGAAAAAAAGTAACAACAAACTAAACAAACAAACAAACCAACAATGCTTTTATGATATAATTTTGGATAATGATGATAACAATGAGTAATTTTACTGGTTTTATTGCATTTGCCCAGAAAATTCACCGATCAGAGCTCTTTACCATGAATCATTACCCTGGTCATCAGATTCGTAAATAATTCTGGAATTAACAGTGCCCACTATCCCCTATTTGTGGAAACATTTGGAATGCTGCATTCCACCAGTGCATTTATTTCAGCCGATTGCCATTTTACAGGTGTGCACATTCCACAATGATGTTTGCATCTAGATCAGGCCTTCTCAACTAGTTTATTAGAAGCGCCAAAATAAAAATTTATTGAGGTTGAAGTGCCAACCTGTATGTTTGGTGACTGTGTTGCGAGGGAGCGTAGCGACCGAGCCGATACCGGGTGGGGTCCAGGGGCGACGCCCCCGGAAGCTAGTGGGTTTTAGGACTTTTTTAAGGCCCAGATGTGGCATTTTAACACCTTTTTGTTCCATAACACATCAATCATAATTTC